TTGACCCTGTCTCCCCACCCCCACACACACTCTCAGGCAGCACCTTCCAGTCCCTAACCCCTCCATTGACCCTGTCTCCCCCCTGCCACACACACACACTCTCAGGCAGCACCTTCCAAATCCTAACCTCTCAACTGACCCTGCCACCCCCACTGGAGATGAAATCCAGCTGAGGCCAAGCTTCTGTTTATATAGGTTTATCATTACCCCTCTGCCTCTGTCCATCCTTATCTATCCTTGCACAATGCTGAAGTCTTCTCCCAACCTCTCAGCTCCTGCACCTCTGATTAATTCCAGAAATCTATGCTCCTGTCTCCAGTGCCCTTCTCTCAGCTTCAGTCCAATCCATCAGGAGATCTTTCCAGTCCCAGCCTCCTGCAGTCCTGTAGAGGATCGTACCACAAATGTGCTGTCGACCCTCGCACTCTCACTGTCACTGTCTCACATGCACTACTACTGCCACTACTGCCCCTGGCTGTTATCGGTCTTCTCCTTTCCCCACCCCCACTCCCCCCTTACCTTGGGGGCCAGTTCCTGAGCTACAACTCCAACCCCCATCCCATGGTGATAGATCACACCTCTCGGTGACATTCCCACATCCTGTCACCCCCTTTCTCTGCCTTTTCTTGTCCTCGCCATCAGTGCAAAAAAGACAGTGTTGCAGCCCCCATCATTCTGTTTAAAAATGTCTTTTCTCTATCTCTCGTTGTCTGTAAATCTGTGACCCTTGTGCTCTCCCTCTCTCTCTGTGGGTCTCTCGTGCGCTCCCTTGCTTTCTCTCTGTGGGTTTCTCACACACTCTCTCGCCTTCTCTGTGGCTCTCGCACGCTCTCTCTATCTCTGTGGCTCTCGCGCGCACGCTCATGCTCTCCCTCTTGCACTGTCTTCCTTATTGTGGCTGTCTTGGGCTTATTCTCTCTCTCTCTCCGTGCCTCTTGCACTCTCATTCTCTCTCTCTCTCTGTGGCTCTCGCACTGTCTCCCTCTGGTTCTCGTGCTCTCTCTTTCTCCGTCTCTCTGTGTCTCAGGTATAAAGTCAGTACATCACCACTGAGCAAACAGTTGCCCACACTCATCCTGTTCCAGGGAGGCAAAGAGGTGATGAGGCGGCCCCTTATCGACAAGAAAGGCCGAGCTGTGTCCTGGACCTTCTCTGAGGTTAGTGGCTGAAACGTGTCAGAGTGTAAACCAGCCGCAGTAACCACAGTTAGATTCCAGTCCGTAACCCACACCGGGATATCTGTTATTCTGTATATAAACCACCCCGAATCTCTCGCTTAGATTCCAGTCTGTAACTCACACCGGGATATCTATTATTC